AGATGGGTAGCATCCTCAAGAAGATAGAGTGAGGGTCTGAGCCGGTCTGACAGTTTTCATCTCTCATCCTTTCCCCTGGGGTCAAAATCCTTCCTCCTCTGTCCTAAGCTGTACTGAACCTAAGCATCATGTTCCAGTGAGATAAGTTATTACCATGAGTTCATGTCATTTATTTTTAATGACGCTGGTCACAATCTTCATTTAGTATTTTGATTCATTTTTTCTATGCTCAGTGGGTCCTGACGCCTCAGCTCTTGCTCTCCTATAACCGCTGCCGCACTGCGAGCAACTTCCGTACCAAATCTAGGCGGTGGGATGCTTCATCAACAGAGTTCATAGCTTTTATCTTTAATTATCAGGTTCTTAGGGGGTTGTCTGGATCTGCAGGAAGAGGGAGGATGGGGAATCAGGGCGCACTTGTATTTGCTTGTTTCCGCCCACTATTTAAAGTGCATCAACAATTCCTACCCGGCAGCAAAATAAGACGAGAGCTGGTACTTTTAAGGTAATTCTGACATCCGTGCTATGAATAGACCACATGGAAATTTGCCCTCGCTAGCTGGTTCCCTGATGCTGTAGAGGAACCCGTGGAAAACCCCACTATGGAGAGAGGCATGAGGCAGCTGTCAGAGATGCTGCTGCCCTTAGAGGCACTGGCTGGTGGTGGTTCATTCAAAACCCCTTCCTGGACCAGCATCACGGCATACCCCAGTGCATCCTCCCAAGAGCAGCCCTTTACACCGGCAAAGGGCCTGTTTTCTGCCAAATATCTCATGTTTTTCACCTCCTCACCCATATTAAAGCCATTTGGTTGGTAGCTCCTGGTGCACCCACTTAAGAGGGCAGCTTGCAGTGTCACCAGTGCCACTGCAGAGGTGGGGAAACTGGGGCAGGACAGGCTGCGAGACAGCCCGCACCAGCAGCTCCCACTGCACTGCTTTCCTCTCCCCATCGCTTGCAAAGCAGGAACATTTCCCAGCCTGGGCCAAGAAAACCTACATGCCTACTCACATGGTGCTAACAATGAAAACACTAATTATATTTCACTCACCTATCAAAGGGATGATTCATTTAGGTGAGTGGGCACGGAGGATTACACAAGATAAGCACCATGATGCGACTGCCCGTCTGTTTTGGGGTAGCCCTCCTGAGAAACAAGGCTGTGTGCAGCACATGGGAACCTGGGATGTGGGTAGCAGAGGGAGGGACCCAGCACGGACCAGGGAATCACTGAGAGCCATTCCCTAAGGGCTGGCTGGGCAAGCGGAACTCAAGCAAGGGGCTGGTGCCCTCCTTGAGACCCTGTCTGGTTTCGGATCCCAAATTCTCAGGTGGGGAGAGGTGGAGGGAGGATAAAAACAGCACTGAAAGGGCAAAAGAAGATCTGGAGCTTCCTTCCTGCACCCCACCTCATCCTTTCCCCACAGCCACCATTTCAGCAGCTAAACCCATACCCAATGCACAGCCCTAGGATTCCTGTGGCAAGCCTGCAGCTACCACTCCAACTGTGTGCAGGGTAAAATCCCTGAGTGTTTCCAATCTGTCCAAGGAGTTACAGAGAGGCAGAAATCAGCTGAGATGTCTCCAGACCTGCTCAGGTGGGTGTCTCCAATAGGAGGTTTAGAGAACCTGCTCTAGAGAGGTTCCACCAGCTCCAGCAAGGACCAGAGCAGAGGCTCCGGCTCACATTGGTACTGATCCAGGTGGATTCAGCCCCTTTCACCTGAAGCAAGGGAGCAATCCTGCTCCCTCTCCGGACTTGGACTGAATCAGGCCCAGCAAATAAGCAGTGCAACTCCAGCATCCGACTGAAGCAACCATCAGGATCCTGGTTTATGTAATACCAGGGAGCTTCTGGATGGGGGCAGCAGGGATTTCTGGCAGAAAGATAAGGACATGTCCACAGTATTGAGGTTTAGGGGGGTCCAAGTGTACGTGAGCGTGCAGGGGAAAAACAGGACAGTGCATACATGTGCCATACATGGGTCAGGCGTGTGCCAAGGAGACTGGGCAAAGTGTGGGCTTTATAAGGGAAGAGAGAGGCTGCTTTTGCATAGTTGGGCTCTGTGGGATAGGTTTACGTTGATGGACACGTATCCACCCAGCCCAGGGAACACAGCTCGCATTCACCTGGTGCATGCACGGGTCGGAGAGGGCTGTCCCTGGGCTGGGGGCAGACCATGTGCATGTGGGTATGCATGAGAAGGGGCGAAGCGTCTCCTCGGCGTGGGGAGGAGAGGCGTGTGTGCATGGCGATGAGTGTGCCCGTGTGGGAGGTGTGAGAGCTGCAAGCTGCATGTGGGGGAAGCGTGCGTGCCTGTGCGAGCACCCGGCGTGGGGATGGGGACGGCACCCGGGGCGGCGAGCAGAGACAGGGCATAGGGATGGCAGCGTGGGTCAGGCCACCGCATCCCGTTGCTCAGTGTCCAAGCCCTGTGTGCATCAACACACGCGCATCAGCCACGCAAAGTACCGCTGACCAAGACTCACTGGTGGAGTGTTGGGGTTTGTCCTCACCCGTTATTGTGTAAGGGAATGGTGAAACTGGAGCTAAACCCATGGATTTTGGGGCACATCACTTCCAGAGCCTCGCTGTGCGTTTAGGGACCCATCCCCTAGCCATGGTTGATGTGCTAAAAAAGCATAATGCAAGGGATGAATATTTATCTGTGGGTGGCAAGTGACAGATGCTGGGGCGAGGATTCTAGGATACTTCAGTTTGATGAAGGTAATAGCTTGAATAGATTAATGAGAAACATCCTTCCCAACAGTTGCCTCCTCTGTGCCATAGCTACTCAGCCACCCCTCCAGCAGAGCTCCTGCACACATCGGGTTCTTGCATCTAAATGCTCAAAGTTCATCAGCGTTCAGTATCCAAAAAGGCTGGAGATGTCCAACTTTGGGGTTTTCCACCCAGAACCGATACAGGCAACTGGGAAAGGGCCACGGGCTCTGAATACTTTTGCAACCAAGTTGGTGAATGTGCAATTTTGGCTGTGTTCAGTCACTCCGTGGTGAGTGCCCAACTGAAATGGGGGGAAGCTGGTGTGGAGGAGCCCAATCGGGGCGCGCATGGGGTGTCCCTGCTCCTGGCAGCACAATGGGCTTGGCCACAGGTACCACCCTCACTTTGCATTTCCCCTCCTAGGAAGGCTTCAGAGTGCCTGAGGAAGCATTTTGCTACAGACGCTGCCCTTTTCCCCCACTGATCTCCCTACCTGATAAACATCCAATACAGCTTCTCAGTCCCCAGGCACCAAGAGGCTGGTCTGGCCTGACAAGATGGAAGAGGAAGCTCTTTGCTTCTGGTAGGTTCTCAGAAACGGTGAAACCGCTGGTAAACCACCCCAGTTTGGGGATGCTCCCCAGGGTTCCCAAACCACTGCTGCGCTGCAGCTGATGGAGACAGTGCTGGCCTGGGGGCACGTGTGTGCCCTGCAACACCCAGCCCTCAGAGAGCTGTAGTTTGTTATGACTTCTGCCTGCCTTCCTGCAACCCTCCCCTGGTAGGGGCTGAATGCCATAAGGGGAGCAGGGAGACAGCTCTCACATTGAGCACACAGAACCCCCCCACATCTCCTCCTGACTGCTTTGAACGTGGGAGACCGCAATTATTCTCTGGCCAAGCAGCTTTATTCTCAGCTGAAGGACTGCTGGGATTTATCGATGGCTTGGAAACGCACACCTGGCAGATCCCAGCCCAGACCCCAGCGTTATTCCAGGCGGCTGAAACAAAAGGTTGCAGCTCTATTTGCCTTTAGGAGAAAGCCACCAGCATGAAATTATCATTAAAACCCAAGATATTGTTCCACTTCTCCCTTCCAGAGCATAAAAGAGCAGCTGCAGGAAATGTTTAATCTTGCCTGCCTGTATAATCACAAAGCAACCAACTAGGTTTTATAGAGAAAGGTCTTGCAGCACCTTTCAGGACGGCTGCGATGGAGCTCATCAATGCTGTAATTTCCTTAATGAAGCAAAATAATGGAAAATTATAATATCTTAAATAAAATAATAATTAAAAAGAGCCTGCTTTAGATGGACACATTTGACAGTGAAAGAAGGGGCCAGGGGTGCTGAATGCCCTCAGCCACTGGTAGGTAGGCCTGGACCGGATTATGGTGGCAATAGAGATGGAAGTAGCCACAAACCATGAGACAGGATGATACAGCCACTTACAGCAAAGCACCAGCTGCTTCCCCTAGTTCAGCCTTTAAGCTTGTTTAAGTCCAGCAATATTTTGTTTTGGGTCGCTCCAATTGGGTTTTCCTGTTTTTCATTTAATCCCAGTTTCCCTTCAACATCTCATTAAGCCGCGTTGACGGCAGAGAATAGCTTTGATGATCCCTCTGAGCCCCTGTGCTAAGCATTAAGCTGCAAACTAGGAATGTAAGACTCTTGTCTGAATTAAAGTCTTCTGCCTGGTGTTATTAAGCAAGGGACTGCGTTTGGAGGGGCTGCAGGGCACACAAAGACCCCAGCTCCTCCTTGGGAGCATTGGCAGCACTAGAGGTGCTCCCGTCTGCTCTGGACACCCCTACACACTCTCACTTCCCCCCTGCCTTGGGTTGCTTCAATATAAATCCTACAGGTCCCAGTGATGCAGTGAGAACTGCAAATCCCATGTGCAACTTGGGTTGTTTCCTGATGGCTCAGCCCATCCCCATCCTCCAACCACCACTGGGTGAGAGCTGGGTGTCGTGTCCCCCCCCACCTCCCCAGTGCAGCCAGCTCCCATCCCCAAAAACCCTGGTTGAGGAGAGAAGGGGGCAGGACCTGGCACCCAGGGACCCATTGAACATGTGGGGCTACCTGTGGCAAAGAGCTGGGCTGATGCCACAACGGGCTGGTTCCCTGTCTCCTATGGGGTATGGGCATCCCTCCCTCCACATCAGCAGGGTGCAAACTCCCAGACTCCAGCCTTAACCCAGGATCCCTGTTTGAAGGTTTCCACCCTACAGCATCACCCACCCTAGCCAGGAAGGTATCAATGCAGCACCTACCTCCATCCGAGTAGGTCTCTGTCCCGTAGCCATCCTGTAATCCATTGCTCCAGGTGCCTTCATACTTGGCCCCATTTCCAGTGCATTCTCGGACCCCGTACCGTCCCTTAAATCCATGGGTCCACTCTCCTTTGTACACCCACTTCCCTTTGCTCTCCATGCCAATGCCATGGCGCTTGCCCTGCGCCCAGGTGCCCTGGTAAGTGTTGCCGCTGGGCCAAGTGTAGACCCCCAGCACCTCAAAGCCGTGACTCCAGGAGCCCGAATATTCACCTTGACCCTTGGGGCCGGTACAGATTCCGTGGCCATGAGCCTTTCCGTCCTCCCAGCCTCCACAGTACGACCCTCCATCGTCAAAATTAAACCTTCCCCCACTGGACATGCATGTAACTCGGTTTGAAAATCCCCAAAAAGGTGAAAAAAAAAAAAAAAAGGAAAAAAAAAATTAAAAAAAGCAGGAAATAAAATGCGAACGATGACTTGGGAAAAAAGAGAATTTAAAAATCAGATCAGTCGCAATCATGCACCAGATCCAAGGGAGCTGCTTAAGCCAGTTTCTTGTGATTATTCATTCTCTGGGAGTACGTTCAGGATCAGTTCTCTCTTCCCCTGCTGTGGAGACAGTATCATTAAACAACAAAAAAAAAAGTAGCAGCAAGAACAGCAGCAGCTATTGGGTTTTGGTGCAAACGACTCCACCTAAAAACCATCCACGGCAGGGAACGGGGGTGGGGGAGGAAAAAAAATAGGGGGAAAAAGGGAAAAATAGGGAAAAAGGGAAAAAAAAGAGGCCAAATTCCAAGAGAAGGAGAAAGAACCCCGGGAAGAGCCGCGGCTCCTCACAGCCCCCGCTGCGCCCCGCGCCCCGGGCTGCCCGCCCGCCCGGCCTGGCTGCGGCGCGGGGCCGGAGGCGGCGGCGGCGGCAGCGGCGGCATGGCGGGGATGATGCGGGGATGATGCGGGGCTGCGGGTGGAGGGGATGCGGGGCTGCCGGGTGGCGGCGGCGGCTCAGCAGCAATGCGGCGCCTCGGCCGCTCCCGCTCGGCTCCCCCCGCTCCGGGCCTCGCACCCGCGCCCTAAAAACTCGACATCGCCTCCGCTATATCTTTACAGACACACCCCCCCCCCCGCAACCCCTCGCCCCGCAGACCGCCCTCCTGCCCGTCCGTCAGTCTGTCTGTCCGCCCCCCCAGCAAACCTCACTGCCGGGAGGACCCGCTCGCCTCGCCCAGCGGATCCCGCATCTCAGCCGGAGGATGCTCGGGAATGAGGCTGGATGCCGCGGTGAGGGGCTGGGCAGCGGCCTCTCTCCGCTCGCACAGCGCTCCCCCCCAACCCCGCCCGCACCACCACCTCCTGCTCCCTACGGGGATAAATCCTTGCTTATTAATGAGAGGATCCTGGGCTTTCTGCTCTGCCTCAGCTCCCGGCTCCGGGCTCAGGGTGGATTTAAAGAGACAGGAACTGCGTCTCCTTCGCCTCCCTCCCCGGCAAGGCCGCAGCCCCCCGCTCCCCCCGGCACCCCGCCGCGGCTCCGGGATGCTCCTATTTATCCCTTCATCTCTCCCCCGCCCCGCTCCCGCCTCTTCTCCTTCGATGCGACGAGGGGCGGCCGCTCCCTGCCAGACCCGGGGTCCCCGTTTCCCAGTGCGGGGACAACGGGAAAGGGCCAAACGCCTTTGTTCAGCGCCGGCAGAGCCAAGTCTCCGGGCAGACTTCGCTCCGTGCCGGGTCCAGCACACTGCGACTGCAACACGGATTATTTATTCATGGAAAGGCCGTGCTGTCACTCCAGGTTTATGGCAGCGGTCCCGGCTGTATCCCCTCCTGGCTGGGCTGATGCACACCTTGGTCTTCTCCCTTCAACACAGGGCACCTCACTGGGGCCCTTCCTATCCGTTGGAAAGGGGCAAAGCAGCAGGAAGCCCCCACCAGTCCTGTCCACAGATTTGTTTCTTATTTTTGTCCAGAATTGCTGAAGATGTGAAATTCTCCCCAGGCAGTGGCAACAGCTCCATGCCACTGGAGCACATGGGATGCTGGTCCAGGCATTTCCCTCTGGAAGATGCTCTTGCCACTGGCCATACACCCCTTTGCTTCTAAGTGTGACAAGTATATGTTGCACAGGGGTGTCTGTGCAGGGCTGTTTGCATGTATATTTGTCTTAATACATGAGTGTAATGCACAGATCTTAAGGAAAAATCCAGGTTGATGTAAACATAAACCCATCAGCAATGAAAACAAAAGTTGGTTTGTAGGTTAATACAGGAGCTTGACCCCTATAAAATTTTGGACCATATGATCCTTGGGGTCCCTTTCAACCTGGTATTCCATGAAAAGGATGGGCCCTGACACTATTTGCTTGAGGGTGTTCAGAGAGTTGGATGAGGTCCTTGCAAGGGTGCTTTCTATAGTCTTTGAGAAGTCATGGAGACTTGGAGATGTCCAAGAAGACTGGAAGAAGACGAATGTCATCCCATCTACAAGAAGGGCTCAAAGGAGGATCCAGGAATGATTGGCCCATAAGCCTTATTTTACTCAGTTATGGAGTGAAGCCTCCTGGGTGCTATCACAAGTCAAATCATAGGATCACAGGATTGCAGTTCGGAGGGGACATCAATGATCACCTGGTCCAAATTTCCTTGGCAAAAGCATGAACTAGACAAGATGTCCCAGCATGTTGTCCAGCTGAATCTTTAAAGTGTCCAGCGCTGGGGAATCCATCACCTCCCTGGGGAGATTATTCCAATGTCTGGTTCTCACTGAGAAAAATGTTCCTCTTGTGCCCAACAGGAATTTCCCTAAGTGTAAGTTGTGGGGAGATTGGAAGGGACCTCAAGATGATCATTGATGTTCCTTCCAACCTGTTATTCTATGATTCTATGAGTAAAGGATGAGCTCTCAGAAATAAAAAAAACGGTGCTCACAAGGCACTTTTTTGCCTTATAAGGCAAAATCTGGGCAATGTATGGAAACACAGTTCTTCAGGAAAATCTCCACTAGGACTTCCAGGAGCACTGGCTCTATTTGCATCCTGCCATCACAACTGGAGTTACTGAGAGCTAGTTTTGAGCCAAGACTATTAACTGGGGTTCGAGACTCAGCTCAGCCAGAACCTCGAGGATAAAAATGAGCTGTACAAACCCTGGTAATGGAAACCCACAGGATTTAGGCATGTGCATCCCCATGGAAGGGATGGTTACACCCAGTATGTGCCTCCATTGCCCACCTATAGGAAGTTTCAGGCTGTGCCTTCCCCCTCAGGCTTTTCTTTCTGTATCAATGCCTTTTCTTGTCCATCCATTGAAACACATCACCAGGCTCATCTGGAAGAAAACCTTTCTCTGCCTCAGAGACGGAGAGATGAAATGCAACCAAAGTGGCTGGAGATTTCCCACTGAAATCGAAAATGTCTTTTCAGACCCCACTGACCCCGTTATGAATGCAGGAACTGCCCTCCTTGTACATTGAAGTGTTTTGGTAAGGTTTTTTTTTCCTCAAAATCACACACTTCAGGTACTGCATTTTAGGCAACTGCAAGCTCCCATGTTTTCATGGAAAGAGACTTTGGGTGGAAACCCCCAAACTTTCCAAGGACAACACTACAACCGGAGTTACTTAAATGTATATTAAAATTTTGGTAGAGAAAGAAAAGAAATTCCATCCCCTTTCTGGTATTTTGTCAGTAGTTTAACACATTTATAGTAATTTTATGTGTTAACTAGCACATTAATTAATGGCCAGCTATTCCTTCTATGGACTTCAATGGGGTAGAGAAACCATAGGCTAATGCCTGTGCACACACTAATGTGCAAAACACCTCTGCTCAGCGTGGGATGCTGCTCCTAATAAAATAGGTTTAAAAGGACCTATGTTTTAAATGAAATGTTTAAAAGGACAGCATATTTACTGGTACCTGGCAAAAAGCAAATCACTAATAACAATCTGCTGAGGAAGAAGAATGAGATTTGCTTGTGTCAAGTGCCAGTGCAGGGCTGTCAAGGGAGGTGCATGGTTTTAAAATGAGTATAATTTTGGGAACAGCACCTTCATGGCCAGATCCTACATCAAAAGTGCAGCCACGTGTTACATCTTTGGTTCATGACCATTTAGGTTCTGTGGTGTGCCCATAGCCTGCCCTGCTGCCCTGGGGCTGGAGTGAAGGGTTTGGTCAGCAAGGATCACCTTGGTTATTAAAGGGTATAAAGGATGGGCTTCAGGATGCTCCAAAAATCACCTAAAGCCATGTTGGCAGCCAGATAAAAGAAGCCTGTGGGAGTACCAGGCAAAAGAGCTGGAGCTGGACTGTCTTTAAGCTGCAGCAGGAGTTCTCCAGTATATCTGACTAACTCTGGAGACATTGTCCCAAAGGGTACAGACAGCATTAGATAGGCCTTTAAGTTGGTTTTCTAATAACCTGGTGCACATGTGGATGAGGGGAGTGAGCTGACATTTGGGATAAAAGAATAATGATGGAAACAATACAATAAAAAGCAAATCAGCTTATGGTCAGTAACTGAGTATGAATGGCAAAATAGCATTGAGCAGTGGGAGCAATGCGAATTGTACAGAATAAAATCAGCATCAGCTTATTCCTGGCGTGCCTTGCTGTCAAAATCACTGGTGGAAAGGCACAGATTTCCAGCTGATCTCATCCCTTGCATGCAGAAACCACCCTGGCCCTATAAAGAGCTAACGGAACAGCTCCTGGAGGGATGGGGGATGCAGGCAACGAGTTTTGATGTACAACATGGTTCAGAAAGACAAGTGCAGCCCATCAGGGAGACCCAGCCTCTGCAGAAAACCTGCTGGGAAGTTTGGCTATGCATGAGAAAGAAAAAGAACATGCACAGATCAACATGAGAGAGAGGATTAAGTGGAGGAATGCATGCTGCTACTGCATCCTCAGCGTGAGAGCGGAGGGATGTATCTCCAAGGGTCCAGCTGCTCAGAAAATCATCTCCAGCATCCCAGAAAGGCAAGCAGCTTCTTCTGGGAATGTGATCCTGTGAAGAACAACAGAGGATGGGGAGAGGAGGAGGAGGGACAGTGTGCTGTCCTCCCCAAGCCCAGGCATGAGGTGTGATTTGAAGGCTTCTCAACTCAGTGGGTCTACATCCACGGGGGAGGATGTTTATTGGCACTAGCAGCAGGGCTTCACAGGACCTCACACACTGTGGGCAGCTCCTGGGGATACCCAAATGATGCTGAAGGGGAAGCACATTGACGTGAGCTTAGAAAAATCATCCCTGTCTCACAGGGAAAGAAAGGGAAAAGGCAGCTGAATGTGGAGTTGAATACCAGGTTGTTTAAGTGGTGTAGGGAGGTTTGTGTTTCCGCAGGGTGAGGCCATCCATGGTGGAGCTGTAGAGCTCAGCTGACCTCCATCTCAACAGGAAAAGCTCCTGGAGGGTATTCCAGCCAGCCAAGACAAGGGCTCGTTATCCTGGTAACGTAATGGAGGAGGAATGAGGACACTGGACCATGTTTGTTCCGAACAAAAATACAACTGGGAAATCACAAGACACAAAGGATTGAAACTGCAGCAGCAAAACCCACCTGCACAAGGTAGAATTGCTGAATATATGACAGAGCCCCACTCCTAAGGCTGGTGGGGAGATTTCTCCAGATGGAGTACTTCACCCTGTGTTACAACCACCTTTTTTGTTTGATTACCACTTGTGCTTAGAGGTCTTGATCTGCTGGCCCAGACCCACATCATGCTGGGATTGGTTTGGGAGCTGCTATC